CCTGATGCATGTAGGTTGTCACGTGTAGCGTGATGCATGTAGGTTGTCACGTGTAGATTGATGCATGTAGGTTGTCACGTGTAGATTGATGCATGTAGGTTGTCACGTGTAGCGTGATGCATGTAGGTTGTCACGTGCAGATTGATGCATGTAGGTTGTCACGTGTAGCGTGATGCATGTAGGTTGTCACGTGTAGCGTGATGCATGTAGGTTGTCACGTGTAGATTGATGCATGTAGGTTGTCACGTGTAGCGTGATGCCAGTAGGTTGTCACGTGTAGATAGATGCATGTAGGTTGTCACGTGTAGCGTGATGGATGTAGGTGGTCACGTGTAGATTGATGCATGTAGGTTGTCACGTGAAGCGTGATGCATACTAGGTTGTCACGTGTAGCGTGATGCATGTAGGTTGTCACGTGTAGATTGATGCATGTAGGTGGTCACGTGTAGCGTGATGCATGTAGGTTGTCACGTGTAGCGTGATGCATGTAGGTTGTCACGTGTAGATTGATGCATGTAGGTGGTCACGTGTAGCGTGATGCATGAAGGTTGTCACGTGTAGCGTGATGCATGTAGGTTGTCACGTGTAGCTTTATGCATGTAGGTTGCCACGTGTAGCTTTATGCATGTAGGTTGTCATGTGTAGCCTTGTGCATGTAGGTTGTTGCGTGTAGCTTCTAGAATATGTTTGCAAAATGGATTCATTTTACCCTTAAATTGCGAATCGGAATCTACACACTCAAGGCGGGGATGACGAAGCGTTTGGAATTGGTCTGTATCACATGACTCCAGCATACAAATGCATTGCACGCTGCCACAGTCTACGGAAACCAATATCTTGTGAATGCTTTAACGGCCATCGCCTTGTCAGAGTGGACCCCCTGGATGATGCAAACGTGACTTGAATTCATTAAATTCATTAAATGTCCTTTATAGAGGATATTCCACGTGCCTAGTCTCATTGAATCTATCTGTTATCTCGTGACTTTTTTATTATATACTTCATTTATTGTTGACAGTGTTTACACAAAGCAATTAAAACGCAAAATCTAAATTCTCCCTACTTTACACATAGACCTCTTCACACACGGCTTCCTGCACGCAAACAAAATAGTGTGGTAATTGAAAAACAAATAATATTAAACTCCTTAAAATACTTGAATTATTTTTTGTTAATTTACGTACCGCTGAGATTTTATTCCACACCGTTTGAATTAATGAATACTCATGATCTGTTTGAGGTATTTAATCTAACTGACAAGCGCAATAAAATATCAAATTTTACAAACATGGCGCCGAACGACTCCGGGGCGATCGCTTAGCAATGCATTTGAAGCATATCTGTTAAAATAGGAAGAGTTGCAAACAGAAAACGCATCAGAAGAGGTTTTAACCCGTAAATCTTTCACTGGATGTGAAACATGTTCACTGTCAAGACAGAAATGTAATTGTGTGGAAGCCCGACGACAGCCGCATGCGACAGGCACAGGGGCGGGTCACTTCGTACCGATAGTTCAAGCATATGTTATCAGACATGACTTTAGAAATCTGATTCATTCACACTTAAGTTTATCATAAAACAGAATATTACGATCTGTTCGGATTCGCTACAGAGCACCCTGACTATACCTGCCCCACTTCTTGTCTGATTTTACGAAGATAATCATAGCGGTTTCTCCAGACATTTGTATTCAAGCTGAAAAACAGAATTAATCAAAACCATATGAGTGAGTGAGTTAAAGTTTAACGTCGCATCGGCATTATTTCTGCCATATGGCCACCAAAAACCATCCGATTCCACTTTAATCACTGTATTTGTGATTTTGATTGTGTCCAGTTTGTATTTGTCATTACGACGAGTTTGACAAAATAAATAAATGTTCTCCGATTAGATTTTAAAACAAAATTGTTTCAGGTAAAACAAGCTCATTGCATATTGTAACGTCAAAAGTGACATTTCCCCTACAACTATTACTACTGTCAACGGGAACATGTATGCACTGAAATGGTATACGTAATATCTAATGTATTCAATGTTATATTGTTATAATGATCGCATTTTTAACTCTGACCGCATAACCTAGACTTGTATCATCAATGAAAATTATATTTGTACCATAGTTGACCCACTGCTCACCGTTATAGAAGGATTGGTGTATGTAACGGATTTATTCCTTAAATAAAAACAACGTTTGTGTTTGTTTTTCGGGGAGACAGAATGTCGGACACAAATTTCAGGTATTTTGCTTGAGCTCTCTTCAAAGTCATTTCTTTCCAAGCTTCAAGTTGTCACAACTAGGTGAAAAGAAATATGTTCATTTTTTGCGATGATAGAACGTGTCCAAACAGTGATGACGACATCCTCTGCATCGTGTGGTGTGACTGCGACAACCTCTTACAGCCAGCTCATGGGTCTCTGTTGTCTCGTCACCAATAACGGTCGGAAACCAGGGTTGACGGAGATGCTCACCTTCACTGCCGTTTATTCATTAATGGCTACATAACAAGCGGGTTATACAAGTGATGAGGAAGTTGTCAGATTGTCTTGTTTCGTGTGGTTTTTATTCTGCAAGGAGAAACAACGTCACATAACGGACATGTTGTTTACCAACCTTAACCCCTAGAATTGTTACATAGATGTCATACTTACATATGCAGGCGTTGAAGCTGTTGTGGATGTTGGAGGAGTTAGATGGGAGCGGTTTCATGAAACCACAAGAAAACTTGATCCTTTGTAAAAAAAGTTTTAGTCGCAAACTCGTAGATTACTTTATCGTTATATGTCAGTGACAACACCATTACGTAATACATCTGTTAATCCCATTAGTATATTATATAAACTAGAATAACTCTCTAGCTCAGAGAAGGTCATTTCATGTCAATGACCATATCGCAAAACCATCGCATTGTAAATAACAGCGACAAACATTTTCAAAATCACAATAATGAAAGCGTTTCATCCATAATCATAAGGGATCTCCACTCTGAGCACAGTTAATGGTACAATTCCGACAATACCAGAGTCATGTGTTTATAAATCACTACCAAATAGTGATGATACCAGGTGTTCGCGCAAAGGTGAGGCTGTCCTGCTCCGCCGATAGTACCCAAACGTTTGCAACGGTAAAACACTTGAAAAAAACAACAACCAGGAGAACATTTGGTACCAGTCAAAACAGGGAATAAACAGATAGAATATTTTGAAGTGATGCGTCAAATTAGGAAATATCCGCCACATGATCCTCGTAAACGGAACATAGTCGATTGTACCACAAAGGTTGTGAAATGTTGACACCAAAGGCTGGAGCTGCTGAAGTATTGCTCGCCATTAAAGGAAAGTTGAATGTTGGAAAATTAAATCCCTCTTGTTATACAGTTTTATAAATACTTTTTGTCACTCTGAATTTTTATGGATAGACCTAAATATGAAACAGATGAGGCGACCTCACCAGTTGCTTTTATTGCCAGCTGAGCTGGGTAAAATTGTCGAATTATTGTCCATTATTGAACATATTCTCATTATACAGCCGATATGCAGAAACATTTATGTTTTCAAAATCAGTACGCTTAAATCGTTCCAATCTGCATGTCACGTGTTTGTAGGACAGACAGTGTTGTCATTGGTAGTCGTGGGTACAGACATATGATGTTATATCCTTTCAAGGATAGACAGTGGTCTCATTGGTAGTGGTGGGTCCAGACATGTGAAGTTATATGCTTTGAAGGATAGACAGTGGTCTCATTGGTAGTGGGGGATAAGACATGTGAAGTTATAGCCTTTGAAGGATAGACAGTGGTCTCATTGGTAGTGGGGGATACAGACATGTGAAGTTATATCCTTTCAAGGATAGACGGTGGTCTCATTGGTAGTGGGGGATACAGACATGTGATGTTATATCCTTTCGGGATTAGACAGTGGTCTCATTGGTAGTGCTGTGTACACGAAGTATGTTTAAGTGACAATATTCCATAGATTAAATATCAGTTGTGGTAGAAACCAAACAACTGGTTTGACAGCATGTTCATACAAGTATTCAAATTTGGATTTGAGGGGAGATCTTCTTATACCTCACATTATAGTACATGTGCAGCTACCGTGTCGCCGACATAGCCACCCATCCTCTTTCATTGGTTGTGCAAGCAATCAATATTTATTGAAAAAAGATTTCGGGAAACAATCATTTGCACAACCTCCATTGCCGACACGAATCTTCTACTCCTCAATCACCGCTGCTGCTTGAGACACTGTGTGTTCTGACGATCCTTATTGACGTGTTTATCAGCAGGAACTGGTTAATGGGCGACGCAAGTTTACCTAGTTGCAACACGTGTACAAAACAAATTGCCACTCTCAACCACAAATACACCTTGTTTCCTTAGCTAATCAGCACAAGGTGTCACTTTGAGAAGATTGCATCTTTTTTGGCCAAAATATGTTTTTTAGATTCTTGTGAGCAGGATGCATGAACCTACTAATAAGGAAGAGAATATTAAAGACCCTCTGCACCAACAGTTCACACCGGGGTCCACGGTAATCTTTATATCTGGATACTAATCCCTGTCTCTAATCTGGACAGGTAACTCGGAAATGTTAACGATTTCCTGGCTCGAGTTATTGAGGGATATTATGTAAATACATTCATTGCCAACCAATCCCGTTTCACGTGCATTAAAATATAATATTTACACACTTATATAATAGTATTGTGATATGATAATAAACATTTAGTGTTCATGTAGTGCCACATACAACGTCCACTTGTGCATTACAAAACATCTCAGAATGCATTATGAAGAGAAATCCGCTTACATGATTCCTAATCCACGGATTAATTGTTCGTGTAAATACGGACACAATTGGCATTTGGGGCTCTTAAGTCTAAATTTGGAGACCACCAGCGTCTTGTGTGCCCCCCGTGCCAAACTGAATATAAGTCAGATGACAAAACATCCCCGGCACATTCTAGTTGTCCAGACTCACGGCCTGTCGTCCAGTGGAAATATGGCATACATCTGAGAATCGCCTTAGAATTCTTTATCGTTGAAGGATATCCTACATGGACATATATACAAGCTGTACCAGCACTGGGTTTGCTTCGTTTGTGACAGTTCATATTTGTGCAATTTGGAACGTTAGTTTTCAAATCTGGAAGGACAGGTTGTGTCGGAAGTTCTCACCTTGTTTTCTTCAACCGACTTCATAAGGATCACAACACGTAATTATGGCGATTTACACAAACACTGACACGGAGGACGTTTAATATTGTCTCATTACCGAATTACTCCAACACCCGGGATTCTTGCACTGTACATGATCATTATATACCACATGTATGTAGATTTAATTACCTTAATCATAGATGTAAATACTGTTATATGAAACGTGCTAATTTAAGCCCATAAACATCTAAATTACTGATGCATATCTTAGTGTAATCAGTAATGTATCCATACGGATAAATGCGAATAATGACATGTCATCTAACCGGAGATATATCCATGCCTATCTCTATCAATACTACCTCTTTCTGATGTATGTTCTGTCAAACGTTCCCTTATATGTGGTTAACTGGCCTCGAAAGAAATCACAGGAATATGAAAAAGTCACATTTTTATCTTTTGCGGTCCCTCTAGGCAACAGTTGCAGTATTTTACACAATAACACATTGTTACCAATGAAATATTTTCAAAAGTGTGACATAGTTTTGCATACATATTTGTTCTAAATTCCTAGGCTTTTTTCAAATAGACCTTCTCGTACCAAGTGTTATATATTTGTGTACCTCTCCCTCTCAGACTCTTTAAGTTTAATCCATTGTTTACACATTATCTATAAGCAAACGTTTGTTTCTCACCCAAGTGCTGTATCTACGTGAAGAGATGCCCTGGGGGCCCAGAGGTCATGTGATGTAACAACACGTCATGACGTCATGTTTGCAGCACGTGCCCATGTCTGTTTAGGATCCAGTTGTTAGTATTTGCTGCTCTGTGTATGGCCGAGGCGGCTAACTAGGAGTTAAAAACCCCCGTCCGGATGCCAGTCGTTAAAATCCCACGCTTGGCGAGGATTTACAAATACTTTCAGCTATTTTTAAATATCCAGATTGCAAAGTTTCATTTCTAGCATCCGCGTCCAGTGAGAGAGAGCTCTACTATCTCTGTCTGTTGTTTCAGGAGAATGATCTACCTCCAGACGTTCAGCCTCTTGCTGGCTGCCCTTTGTCTTCACACTGCCTACTCGCAAGACAAAAAGAGCCATGGTGGGTCCATTTTTATTCATAGCTATTCTCATCTACAAAAAGTGTATATATGCATGCGAAAATAACCTATCATGGTATCAGCGATATGAAGTTGTATTCATATTTTTATTTGTCCTGACATGTATGTAAACATACGTGGCAAGTTTAACGAGGAGCGTATTGTCACATTCAGAAGCAAGAGACACAGTGATGACATCATTTATTAAGCTAAAGCATTGTAAATAATCACATGACAGTATTTTATGCCCTGAACATTTTGTTTTGTTTTTGATGAATATACATACTTTCCCATTAAGCAGTCTTCAACCCTCTAATCCAAGACATATACATAATATGTCAAAAATGTCTTTATTCGAATTGTAATATCTTTTTGTCATATATTTTCCGTGTATAACATAAGCTGTACTATTTCAGCTATCGCCACCACTTCAGGAGACAAGAAGATATTCTGCTACTACAGCAGTTCTGCAAACGCTAGGCCGAGCGTGGGGAAGTTCTGGCCTGAGCATTTAGACCCCTTCCTCTGCACACATATTATCTTTGCCTTCGTTGATATCACTGAAGATGGAAAGGACCTCAAACCCAACAACTGGAACGATTTGGGGGCTGATGGTAAATCTTGGGCACCTTCTTGAGACCAGCTTAGTAGTCCATATAATATCTGTATAGGTTGGCATTTCTTGTGTAGATTACAGGGCTGATTGTGTGGATAAGGACCTTTACTTTTGTACATAAGCACCTGGTAGATTATCTTGTCTCACTGATTGAACATATTCTCTATACACGGACAGGAACATGACGGGAGGCATACAGCTTCCGTTTGTGTCAACATCATTACACGTCAAGAATATTTAACCATGAATCAATAACGGTTCTTCTACTATACTTTTTTCCACAAACGCTGGTATAAAAGTCTGGGCAGATCATTTAGTACACCCCCTCCCATGTAACGGATTTACAGTACACGTCGTCTAAGTGTTCTTTCATTTAATGAATACTAAACTTCAGAATGTCAAAAGACGTAGTTGGAGGACATCGAACCTCATGGAATGTAGTAATAGGTCTCCAAAGAACCCTTACAATAACACGTGTGTATCCTGGGTAGGAATAGAAGGTCCTAGACGAGTTGCATGGATCGATGCTCATGATGTCAGTCACTGGGTGTCTGGTCCAGACTCGATTTACACAATACCTTCATATAGCTGGAATATTGCTGCAGTGCGGCGGGAAGCAACAAGCGAAGTGTTCCACTTACTACCAAACATTCTTTAGGACATCCGTGTTGTAAGTAAGCATATGTGCATGAACCATGAAGCGCTTGACGTTAAACATTCTTGTAACCCCCGTCTTGTATGTAGGTCTGTATGCACGAACCATGAAGTTGAAGGAGAAGAACCCGAAACTGAAGATCCTGCTGGCTGTGGGCGGATGGAAGATTGGCTCCAAGCCCTTCATCCCAATCATGGAGAGCGAAGAAAACATGAAGGCCTGGGTGAAGAACGTCGTGAAATACCTCAGGAAGTTAGTACACTTTTTGCAACATGGGTTTTAACGCAATAGTTAAAACCCCTTTCTCAGTCAAACACATGAAACGTCAACACCAGAGAAAAAACAGTCTCGTAAAAGGCAAAAAAGCTCTTAAAAGTGTATGAATGGATTACTGAAAATAAGTGCTGACACAAGGTGTTCACGAAAAGGGAAACTATATTCTTCCCAACCCGTAGCACTCGTAAGTCTCTACTAAAAGCAGAGCCTATTGTACAATACCGACTATATCACAATCATTAAACCATTTTCCTTATTCCTAAGAAATATATGCTGAAGACGTGTGAATTGTACACTAAATTCCGACTATCATGTGTTTATGAATCACTGCCAAATAGTGATGGTACCAGGTGTTTGCAAAAAGGTGAACGTATCCTGGCCACCGATATCACCCATCATAAACACATTTAAAGGAAAATCAATTGTTCAAATGAAAAAAAGAACACGGGAAGATAAAATACACGTCAAAACAAGGAATTGCATTAGACATAACACTTTACTCTGGGATGCGTCATATTTGAAGAAAACAATGTCCTCCGCACGTCTTCTATAAAACGTTTTTGAAAGTTTTATTAAGGCCATGAAAGTTGAAACAACTTCTGAGCTAGAGTCGTATGACGCTCTTTGAAATTTTCGTAGACAGAGCATTGTCGATTGTACCTCAAAAGTTGTGAAATGTTCGCTCCAAAGGCTGGAGCTGCTGAAGTAGTGTTCGTCATAAAGAGAAGGTACGCTAATGGGAAGTTGAAGTCATTGCTCTTCTCATACAGTCTTGTGGTATTTACACCTCAAGTGTTTGGCTATGAAGGATAATGTTGCATGTGATGCGGGAAGTGTGTATATGTATAATGCACCGACTCTGCTCAAATGAGGTCGAAACGTATTGTTGAAATCAATGTTTAAAACACCGCTCATCAACTCATATCATAGCGGCCATGGCAGGTCATAACATTCATTGATGTATAACGTAAAGTAAATGAAATGTTAATAAAAAACTGTTACCATTACGAAACAGTGTTTGATGAACATCGCCTATTTTCCACAGATACGGTTTTGATGGTCTGGACATGGACTGGGAGTTTCCTGCTTGGAGGGGCAGCAAACCGGAGGATAAATATGGATTCACCATCTTGATGAAGGTAATCAATCAATCAACCAATAAATCAATCAATCAGTACTTAATTCATTACGAGGCCCATAGTCCCGTATACAAATAACAGTTTACAACTATGTAGGGGCAAAATTCATAATTCTAAACATTATTTGACAAATACTTTCTTCTTTCATACGCATGATAAATAAACAGGCATAGTGATTTTATTTGTTCTGTATCGTTTGTGGCAATTATCCTTTTAAATGTATGCATTTTTACATTAGTTATACATGTCTCAGGTAGATATTTAATTCAAATAGCATCAAAACAAGCACATAAAAGAAGAAAATGATACTCGTCCTCTGTGCCTCGAATACACAAAAAAACACCTTCTCATGCTTATATCGATTCTGTTGCAAACCTACCGCCATTATTTCTTAATCGTAATTGTCCCCCGCCAAACTTCTCAAATACATTTCGAAGCTTTAATTCGCCAATTGTATAAAGATACTTTCCTGGTTCTTTTGTATTCTCCATAAAGGTTATATCTAGAATTGAGATTTATAGTAGATATCCAATTTTGATGAAACATTAATTGCCCAATTCTTCAACATACTTATTAAACATTTTTTTTATCTCCAACTGTTTATGACAGCCAAACAAAAACCGAAACCATAAGAAAATAGTAGATATCTAATATCTGAAGCCCAATTTTATATCCTACATTATCTAAATAAATTTACATGTAAATGTACGCTTTTTAGGAGAGGCGGTCTTCATGCATTGATAATATTTAACACTTGTATCCAACACTACGAACAAGTGAGTGGATATACATTGGATATCGGCCACATTCACCATAAACTATAGCACTAGGTGTTTGTGGTCCCGTTTGTAAGAAGTTTTTACAAGCCAGTAGGTGGATATTCTCTACAATCTGAAATTTGGGGCAGAAATATAATTTTTTCTAGTTGTAGTAAGTCACTGATATAAAGCCATTTTGGCACGTAGGGCTAGATCAGCAACATATTTTCTAAGGCGAAACTTACAAGTGAAGCCTAATCCTAGACAATTATAAGTATTAACAAGCTTGTCCTCTTTAATACCATACTTCTTAAGCTGATTCGTTTCCCCCTCGTCTAAGAACAACAACATTTGATTTGTGCAAGTTAACAGTCATTCCCCACTTATCTGCATATGAATCTAGAATATGTATCTTACTCTGTAAACCACATATAGTATCAGAAATCATAATTGCATCATCGACACATAGCAACATTACTACCTCTACTATATGTGGAAAGAGTTGAACCTCATGAGTTCCATATACAACAACATCTGTAACTTATTCATTCACAAATGATGAGAATAGCAGAGGGCTCAGCATACATCATTGTCTTAAACCAAATGGACAATAAAACAATAATCTGTGAAATCTGTATCACATCTAACACATGCATTAACTGATCGGTATACACTTTGTAAAGCCCTCAGTATTTTACCATTTAAGATATAGGAAGACAATAAATTCCATAGCGTTGCCCGATTGACATAATCAAAAGCTTTTTTTAACATCAATAAAAGCTACATAAAATTTCTTCTTCTTTTTACATTTTTAAATTATTGCACATAAGATAAAGTATGATCCAATCCACTCACATGGCTGTCAGTGCTTTACATGGTCCTATAGAACGATGTGGAAGTAAATTGGGCTCACTCTGTCACTCACTCACTCACTCACTCACTCTATTGTGTACATTCTTGTAGGTATGGCTGAACCACCAGCACGTGGGAGAGAACGTGACTGTTTCGGAAGTGCCACACATTGTAGACAGTTGTTACATTAGTTTGTAGCCAGTTGTTAAACTATGTTGTTACCATTTGTTGAACTATTTTGCAGCCTGTTGCGGCACTAAGTTGTAACAAGTTGTAGCAAGTTGTAACACCTTTTGTAGACAGATGTCACGTTGTTTGTCAGTTATCTAAAAGGATGGTTTGGTTACAGGGACTGTATGACGCGTTTGCTGAAGACTCTAAGGCATCTGGGAAGGAAAAGCTGGTCTTGACTCTCGCCACTGCATCCAGCACATTCTACATTGACAAGGCCTACGAGGCATCTGAAATATACAAGTACGTTACTGTATAATTCCTTACTGGCGATACTGCTGGCTTTGATTAGCCCGTGTGGGAGCGCGTAACCCATGTTGTAATGCATGGATGATGCCCTACATTGAATAGTAAAGCTGGCGGATGTTTAGCTCATCGTTTAACAGGATACATAATACGGTTGGGTACATACTATATATCCGTCACGTTTTGTCAAGTGCCATATTTTCTATAACCGAGTAGGTAAATTTGTAAGTGACACCTGCAAGTTCTTGAGGGGTAGTCTTATCCTTACAAAAGGCGGACTCAACTTATTACAGAGGTATTTCTCTTTTAAATGTTACTGGCAAGTTATTTACTTTTGTGTTAGAAGAAGAAGAGTTAAGAACACGGATGGAAATTAATGATTTATTTCGGAATCTCAAGCTTGTTTTCGCTCTAATTATTCTCCCATTGATAATATGTACATTTTACAGTCAATGTGCTCGAAATTTAAATGCAAATCGAAGGGCCGTGTTTACTGTGCTTTCGGTGATTTTAAGAAAGCCTTCGATTTTGTGAATAGGCAAAAGTTATTGTATTTACTTGTAATCAAGGGTTGTAATGGGAAAATGTTTAAAGTTGTGCAAAGTATGTATTCATCAGTAAATGCATGTATAATGACTGACAAGGGTAAAACAAATTATGTTTCAATGTCCTGAGGTGTAAGACAGGGATGGATTTTGAGTCCTGTTTTGTCAATTTTCTTTATGAATGAACTTGTTATTGAAGTTCATAAACAATGTAATTATGGTATATATGTGCTTCACGATATTGTTGATATTATTATGCTATTGTTTGCCAATGATATTGTAATGTTTTCATTTCCAGTAAGTGGTTTAAAAAAACAAACGATTAAATGTAAAGCAATCATTTTGTTTGGAATGGGGATTTGAGGTAAATTTGAATAAACAAACATAATTGTGTTTAGAAATGGTGGTATATTTGCCAAAAGGGAAAAATGGACTCATGGAAATGCTTCGATCGAGGTTGTAACTTACTATACATATTTGGGTATCTTCTACTTTAATGTGGCCAGTAGCTTCTAAACAACTTGCTAATTCAAGCTTCAAAAGCATGTATGTCTGTGTACAAATTGTTAAAAGAAAAAAAGGATATGTTATTTTCAAGAGCATGCAACTTTTGCTCCTATTTTACTTTATGGTTCGGAAATATGGGGAACAAAATATCATGTTTTTTGGGTTTTGGTAAATATTCCTAAAATAAAGCAATTCTTGTTGAAACTGGACGCTGCAATATGTATGTGCATAGCCAAGTAGGAGTAGTTACTGGTCAAAAATTAAGAATGGAAGAATGCAGATATCCTCTTTAATGTTATAAATTGTTAAAGCAGTAATGTTAGATAATAAAGGTAAACATAACTGGGTATCTGAAGTAAGAAATCTATTATTTACATGTGGTCTTTCATTTGCGTAGATTGTACAGGAAATTGGTAACATTCATGTGTTTATGGGCATATTTAAGCAGCGAGTGAAAGATATATTTGCCCAAAACTGGTTCGAAACTGTTTCATCTTCGCATTGTCTTAGCAGTTATGGTAAATTAAAGTCACATCGTCACAGGAAATGTATTTATCTGTCTTACCCGACAAGTCATTAATAAGATCCTTTTGTAAATTTAAAATCTCATTACATCATTTCAATGATTTATGTGGCGTAAATCGAAAGATATTAATGCTGTTAATAGTGTCTGTATCAATTGTGACAGAGGTGAAATTGAAGATAAATTCTTATTTTTATATGTAACGAGTATTCCAAATAATGACTATAAATCTGAAATATTAATGATTAATATTATCAACTCACAAAATAAACATGTTATCTTTTCACTGGCTACCTATATAAGCATGTTTTTAATATCAGATTCAAGAAGATGTAATTTCTGTATATGCACGTGACATCGTATTATGAGCCATACTATACTGAATAAACCTGTCTGTCTGTCTGTCATCATTACATAACATGACAACAACCCAACATGATATTTCATAACACCATTCAAAGAGGGGACGATACAAGATCATCCCATCACCTATCATGAGCGAGGCGATGTTTCCGTGTACGTGATATTTTTTTTGTTACGTCGTCACGTGCTGACTATGTGAATGTTCACGTTGTGCAGGTACATCGACTACATGTTGTTGATGACGTACAACTACCACGGGTCCGGCTGGGAGAAGTCCGTGGGTCACCACAGTCCCCTCCTCCCCCACAGAAGCGACCCCGAGGGCGAACAGAGACAGTTGTACCAGGTGAGGGGACATGGCGTCGGGAAAATAAGAGAAAATCAAATCAATAATATTTTTATAAAAATAACAAACATATATCTCATATCTACTTTATATCAACATCATAACCACTTTATATATCATCATGAAGGGGAAATATAAGTGCAATGTAAATCATAGAAAGTACATTAATTCAGAATAGAGCTGTACTTTGTAGACCAATTATATACGCTTTCGCTTTGTATTTTGAACTTGGTTGATAAAGCCATACCATATATATTATTCACACATTCACACATTCTCACATTCTCACATTCACACATTCTCATATTCATACATTCTCACATTCTCGCATTCTCACATTCACACATTCTCACATTCATACATTATCACATTCACACATTCTCACATTCACACATTCTCACATTTTCATATTCACACATTATCACATTCTTGCATTCTCACATTCACACATTCTCACATTCTCATATTCATACATTATCACATTCTCGCATTCTCACATTCTCACATTCACACATTCACATATTCTAAATATGAAGGTGATGAAGGAACAACGTATTTCTGTTTTAGCAATGGTCTATCAGTTACTGGTTGAAGATCGGTGTTCCCAAGTCCAAGTTGATTGTGGGTCTCCCAACATACGGCCTTGGTTACAAGCTGACTGACGAGAAGAAGCACGGGATCAGAGCCAGTGCCGAGGGAGGAAACACTAAAGGGAAATATACCGGGGAATCTGGCATCCTGTCTTTATACGAGGTACGACACTGAGTCCTACTTAGCTTGTGCATTCGCCATTTTCATATCAACATAACAATGCATATATTAAATATTCATATACAATACATATTACAAGACTTGTTGTATGAAAGAAAGATAGGAACACCCAAATCAACATTGGAGCTAACTATATAAAAGGAGAAAGCTAGAAATGAACATGTAAGGAAGGGAATTCAATGGGAGATGTTAAACTGACTGCAGAGTGAATCAAATATGTTCTGCACACAGCCATATCTCTCATATTCACCACAGTGGCTATGTCGCTGTATAAGTGCAAAAATCTTGGGTGTAACTTTAAACCCCATTTTACCTTACCTGCCCATACTGACTGCCCGATGTGATCTCTGACAAGATATATAAATTCTTCACACACGCTTCTCTCGAATAACCCCATCTTGTTAGTCCGATGTGGATCTGTGACAAGATATATATTTTCTTCACACATGCTATAACCCAATCTTATTCGTCCGATGTAGATCTGTGACAAGATACTTATTTTCCACACACATGCTTTTCTCGAATATTCCCCATCTGTTTAGTCCGATGTAGATCTGTGACAAGATCGGAATATGTTCTTCACACATGAATATCTCTAACACTCCCCTTGTCTCCCTGATGTAGATCTGTGACAAGATCGGAATTTGTTCTTCACACACGAATATCTTTAACACTTCCCTTGTCTCCCTGATGTAGATCTGTGACAAGATCGGAATATGTTCTTCACACATGAATATCTCTAACACTCCCCTTGTCTACCTGATGTAGATCTGTGACAAGATCGGAATATGTTCTTCACACATGAATATCTCTAACACTCCCCTTCTCTCCTTGATGTAGATCTGTGACAAGATCGGAATATGTTCTTCACACATGAATATCTCTAACACTCCCCTTGTCTCCCTGATGTAGATCTGTGACAAGATCGGAATATGTTCTTCACACATGAATATCTCTAACACTCCCCTTGTCTGCCTGATGTAGATCTGTGACAAGATCGGAATATGTTCTTCACACATGAATATCTCTAACACTCCCCTTGTCTGCCTGATGTAGATCTGTGACAAGATCGGAATATGTTCTTCACACATGAATATCTCTAACACTCCCCTTGTCTCCTTGATGTAGATCTGTGACAAGATCGGAATATGTTCTTCACACATGAATATCTCTATCACTCCCCTTGTCTCCCTGATGTAGATCTGTGACAAGATCGGAATATGTTCTTCACACATGAATATCTCTAACACTCCCCTTGTCTCCCTGATGTAGATCTGTGAGAAGATCCAGCACGAAAATTGGAAGGTGGAGTGGATCCTGGACCAGAGAGTGCCGTACGCTCACGGCAAGGGGGAATGGGTCGGCTTCGAGTCTCCTGACAGCATAGCACTGAAGGTAATGTACCCAACCTCATGATGACTCATCCCAAATCTACCAGGTACCGTGTATACGATACATGACATGGCCAGTTACGTTAATGCATCCGTCAAACAATACATCCGTCATCTGTTTCCCTTCACATTTGATGTTCGTGTTGTGGAGTGCAACATTGCACATAAGTACAATATGAGTGCAAAACCAGTGGTCCTCGTGGGCTGCAGGTGGCGAAGTGGACTGTAACGCCGTATTTCGTTGAGTCCCTTAGATGCTAGGATCCGCCGGTTCAACAATTTCATCTGTCACTCCATGCCGTGCATCCTAGCATGACGACATGACAAATCAACCGTAGGTCGCGTTAAGTGAGTTTTATTTCAGCCATTGAAGCGTCTACAGTCTCGGTACCAGCGAGAGCGAAGTATTTAATGCAGACTATCCAATGTTTATTTCTCAAAAATGGATATTAATGAGTAGTTCTGGATGCAAATAATAAAGACCATGCTGTTGTAATGCTGTGGACATTTAATTCACGCATTCGATTCGAGGGCGATAACATTTCCATACAAAAGGGAGTACAATAACAGAGTATTTGTTTGCTGTTTTCGGTTTTCTTTTGTCGTGATTTGCGAATCGAGGTTAAAGCGAATCGTTTTAGAAAGCTGATATGTGATCAACTCAAGTACTGATACATCTTTAATGTAGACTGGGCGGTCAAAATTCCTGTCAAGGGTTTGTCAGATCTTCACGCATAATGGGTTGTTTGTTTGTTTGTTTAATGCCCAACTCAACAATATTCCAGCTATATGACGGCGGTCTGTAAATAATGGAGTCTGGACCAGACAATCCAGTGATTGATATCATGCGCATCGATGCACGCGATTGGGATACGATGACATGCATGAGCCAAGTCAGCGAGTCTGACAACCCGATCCCGTTAGACACTTATTCTACCCCGGATCTTCACGGGTCTCACGCAGAGAGTTACCGTACCGAAGTAAAAGACCTAATTCAAATATGATTTCAGCGTCCACGACCTGCGCCTGCTTGGAGTTGCCTAACTTACATGTTATTGAAAGCGGTGTTTAACCTCCATCACTCACGCACATTATGGCACTGTTTCTATGGCCGCCCTGAGTAATGTTTGTTTAAAAGTGTGTTGTGAGTGTCTGTAACGTGACAGCAATTACCACAAGTGTGTGAAACGGAATTGGATGATCCTTTACAAAGTCTAAAAAGTCTTCTTAAAACCAAAGTTTACTAAGTCATAAAAAGTTGGCCAAGGAAATGGTGCGGAAACCCAGAAAGGATAATACTGAAGCTGACAGCAAACACGCACTTGTTGCAATGTTCACAGAAGATAGGGGAGAGATAGAAATGAAGCCCCCAGTCCTTGAAGGACGGAAGCTTTTTAATATTTTAATCCCGGAACATGTGCTGGTCATCCGTCAGGCAGAACCCACGTGGCAGAGTGTGGTTTAGGTGTCGAACATCTGCGAAACCCTCCACACACAGTCCAGTTTATGATCGCCTTGGTGTTATTTGTTTAGCTCATGGTCCCCCCATGTCCAGTGTCGCCACTGGAAGACCGGCTGTTCGTCACCAAGACACATTTAGAGGCAGGATTACTGGCAACCAGGGCCAGCGAGTACATGCATGCCTGAGTGTGAGGGGAAGTGGTTATGTAATAATGATGACGAATGGTAAATCTGCACACACTACATATCTGCATAGGTCGCCCCACTGTGTTAAATCCATTGCCTTGTCTGGTGGCATGGCAGCCGTTGTCATTGCATCGTGATGAGTTTTTTTTCTTGTTATGTCTACATTTTAAACCTGTATTCTTCTTTTGAAACTTAGTGAAATATGAACACTTTGATGCAGGTTTAAGTTGTTAACAAGATGTAGGACATAGTTTGACACAAGGAAGAAAGTTTAAAATTAAAAACATTCTGATCCCATGAACAAAAACGTATTTAACTTACTTATACCCATGGACATTTAATGCCACAAACAATGGGATACACTGAATTGAAATCTTTCTTTTTACAGTTAAAAATTCTTAAATGGTAATCAGGTAGCATTATCATTGAGGTGTTAACAGATATAAGAAACTAAATGCTCACTTTACATGCATTTTACAAGTATTGACAGTCAGGAGTAAGGTGACAGTCAGGAGTAAGGTGATAGTCAGGAGTAAGGTGACAGTCAGGAGTAAGATGGAGTAAGGTGACAATCAGGAGTAAGAACGAGTAAGGTGACAGTCAGGAGTAAGATGGAGTAAGGTGACAATCAGGAGTAAGAACGAGTAAGGTGACAGTCAGGAGTAAGATGGAGTATGGTGACAATCAGGAGTAAGAACGAGTAAGGTGACAGTCAGGAGTAAGGTGACAGTCAGGAATAAGGTGACATTCCTTTCAACTTTGGGATGTTTCATTGTTTCGCCAATGCAATCAGTTTAGAATTCTTATTCCACACATCAATGTTTGTGTCCGTCAAGAGGAATGTTTGTTCTCGGAACGTAAATCCCTGTACACGGTCACCTGACAAGGTCAAGTCGCGGCGGAGTTGCCATACTGTTGTATTAGATGCAGTGGGTTGGGTGTTTGGTGTGACAAGGAAACTCTGAAAGTGGGAGATGTCATACTTTCTACAGAACATGTACGTTGCAAAGGTCAAACAATTCACATGACCTTGTTCACATTGCTCAGTTATCCCAACATGACTTGAAATGACGCTTTGGACCACCTCCGGGGGATATTGAATAGAGCGTCGGGCTGGAGAGTAGAAGGTCGGCGGTTCGATCCCTGGCCGCGTCATATCAAAAGACGTTAAAAGATGGTACCTGTTGTTACGCTGCCTGGCGCTCGGCCGCACGGGAATAAAACAAAAGCTGCTCTGCTTGGAGTCTGTATGGGGTATCCGTGTTAAACTGCAACATGGCATCTGAGTGGGCTTCTTCTATAAAACCGGCTCACGCCCGGACCTGTACAAGCAGCCGTATACACACCTACACGCACGTCGCTATATAAGTGAAATTACCCTGAACGCGACTTTAAACCCCATTTTACCGCACCTCACCTAATCTAATGCCACTTGGTTTATTCACAGGCTAAGAATATCATCAAGCGCGGTCTTGCTGGTGCCTTCGTGTGGTCAGTGGAGATGGACGACTTCAGCGGCCACTGCGGTGGTGCTAAGTACCCACTACTCCGTACCATTCACGACATCCTCCTGACCGAGCACGGCACCAAGGTGACCAGTGTTGCTGGACACACGGACAAACAACCCGACCCTGGTGAGACTTTGTATGTGTAACCTTTTTGATTGCTTGTATAATCAGTATTGTTTTATCCTGTTAAACTAAATTAGATATTAATACATTTTACGAGTTGAATCTTCTTCGTTTAATGATTTTTGTAAGAGATAGTCTGAATTGAAAACAACGAATAAAAGAAAGGTTCGCTTAAAAATACATCATTGTATTTGAAGACCCTAGCGAAAACAAAGATGCTGGACAAGAGATTGCTAATCATCTGGTAGTTTTACATAGATATAACGGTAAATGACGTCATTCGTGTTTGGGGCACAGGTAGCTCTGTCGTCTACGGTCCTACTACTTCAGAGTTGAGTCCCTTAGTCACCAGGAACTGCCGCTCGTCGGTTCGACTCCAACATTCGCCATGATTATGATCTTTGGTTTGTCAAAACTTTAAACCCCAGTCACGGGTAACAGCAAAGTCTACGACGTGAGCCTTCACTCCGACGTCAAGATGGGCCTGTGATGTAACTGAAAATCTGTTTAAAGCGGCGTTGAGCATGGCTCACATCATTACTTATAAGTGTCAATGCCATATAAACTGCCTTGTGTTTGTATACCTCTCATATGCTTTTATATACGTCTTAGGTCGGCGAATTAGCACATTTACAGTAAGACAATCTTATAAGAGCTTGGTCATCAGTTGAGATGAAAATAAGCCGCTACTGACACCTGGTGTCTGTGTACTTATCAAGGGGCATTGATTCTATGTTGTGGCGGAGCGCTTCACCTTGATGTATACCGCGGTACAATGGTAGGGTCAGCGCTACACCTTGATGTATATCGCGGTACAATGGTAGGGTCAGAGCTACACCTTGATGTATATTGCGGTACAATGGTAGGGTCAGCGCTACACCTTGATGTATATTGCGGTACAATGGTAGGGTCAGCGCTACACCTTGATATATATTGCGGTACACTGGTAGGGTCAGCGCTACACCTTGATGTATATCGTGGTACAATGGTAGGGTCAGCGCTACACCTTGATGTATATCGTGGTTAAATGGTTCGGTCAGCGCTTCACCGTGGTGTATATCGTGGTATAAATAGTAGGGTCAGCGCTTCACTTTGATGTATATCGTGGTACAATGGTAGGGTCAGCGCTACACCTTGATGTATATCGTGCTACAATGGTAGGGTCAGCGCTATACCTTGATGTATATCGTGGTACAATGGTAGGGTCAGCGCTTCACCTTGATGTATATCGTGGTACAATAGTAGGGTCAGCGCTACACCTTGATGTATATCGTGGTACAATGGTAGGGTCAGCGCTACACCTTGATGTATATCGCGGTACAATGGTAGGGTCAGCGCTACACCTTAATGTTTATCGTGATACAATGGTAGGGTCAGCGCTACACTTTGATGTATATCGCGGTACAATGGTAGGGTCAGCGCTACACCTTGATGTATATCGTGGTACAATGGTAGGGTCAGCGCTACATCTTGATGTATAGTTTGCTATGATGATAGGGTCAGCGCTTCACCTTGATATATATCGTGGTACAATGGTAGGGTCAGCGCTACACCTTGATGTATATCGTGGTACAGTGGTAGGGTCAGCGCAACACCTTGATATATATCGTGGTACAGTGGTAGGGTCAGCGCTACACCTTTATATATATCGTGGTACAATGATAGGGTTAGCGCTACACTTTGATGTATATCGTGGTACAGTTGTAGGGTTAGTGCTATACCTTGATGTATATCGTGGTACAATGGTAGTGTCAGCGCTACACCTTGATGTATATCGTGGTACAGTGGTAGGGTCAGTGCTTCACCTTGATGTATATCGTGGAACAATGGTAGGGTTAGCGCTATACCTTGATGTATATCGTGGTACAATGGTAGGGTTAGCACTATACCTTGAGGTATATCGTGGTACAATGGTAGGGTCAGCGCTACACCTTGATGTATATCGTGGTACAATGGTAGGGTCAGCGCTTCACCTTGATGTATATCGTGGTATAAATGGTAGAGTCAGCGCTACACCTTGATGTATATCGTGGTACAATGGTAGGGTCAGCGCTATACCTTGATATATAGTGCGGTACAATGGTAGGGTCAGCGCTTCACCTGGATGTATATCGTGGTACAATGGTAGGGTCAGCGCTACACTTTGATGTATATCGTGGTACAATGGTAGGGTCAGCGCTACACTTTGATGTATATCATGGAATAATGGTAGGGTCAGCGCTTCACCTTGATGTATATCATGGAATAATGGTAGGGTCAGCGCTTCACCTTGATGTATATCATGGAATAATGGTAGGGTCAGCGCTACAGCTTGATGTATGTAGAGGAATAATTGTAGGGACTGCGATAAGCCTTTATGTATATAGCAGTATAATAGAAGGAACAGCGATAAGCCTTTAAAAATGCAAAAATATGTTGGTAGGGACAGCGATAAGTCTTTATATATGACGCGGTATGATGTGAGGGACAGCGGTGCGCCTGTGTATAACGGTATAATGGTCACATCAAAGTTACAGTGATGCGGCTGTATGATCAGCGCTATTCCCAACTATAACAGCAGATGACTGAAGACACTGAGGTTTAATATTACTTGGCGTTCAGGTGTTATATTGGAAATATAATGGTATCCACATAAGCAACGGATGCATGGAATCGGTTTATAGTTTACCTAGGAAACATGAGGTGGTTGTGGTGGTGACACGGCATGTATCCAATGGCTAGGGGTATCTCGGCGACATGACATGGTGCTCGTCTGTGGTAGGTGGTCTGCCATATGTCGGTAAGCAGTCGCGGGAGGTGTTTAACACAGCGTATACCTGTCATTCATACTTTTATTTATATATTTTCTATCGCTCTATGTTTTTATTAACGGTGTTCTCAATATGTAACTGTCTCTTGCACTTACTCGTAAGAACTAAGTCATTCCTAGAACGTTGATATCCAGCATATGTTCACTGATTGGCTTACCCGTATGCATGTATCTTCATTTACAATTCACATTTCGATCTATACCATATTGTTTTTTCAACTTCAATATTGACAATTAATATACTATGAATAGAAGTGCACATTGCAGAGTGAGAACACCTCTAAAGGACCTTATCTGGTACTTTACCATCTTGTATATTCTCCAGGCAAATTGCAGAGTGAGAACACCTCTGAAGGTCCTTATCTGGTACTTTAACATCTTGTATATTCTCCAGGCAACATTGACTGCAACAAAGTCGGCCTCGGCATCTACAAAGACGACGCATCCTGCCTCCACTTCAACCTGTGTGTTCCTGCCGACCCCAAAGGCTTGAGGGCACTCAAGATGGTGTGTCCCAAGGGCACCAAATTCGATGACGAACTCAAAATCTGCAACCACGCCAACAAGATTGACTGTTAGCCTAGGACAAAAAACGGCTCCTCATATCACATCATCTCCTGATACCCATGTCTCATCTGTGTTTGTCATTGTAAATATTCCTGCTCACCAAAGTATGTATTGTGATGCTGTCCACCATATCGAAATGCTTCCATTCCAGCATGACCGCTCATCTCCCATTAATTCACAAATGGCCATCCTAAGAGACGCTAATGATCTTCGTCTGTTTCACATGCTGCCTGTGATGTTAAAACCGCCATTGACGAACATTCACATATTTTGAAGGAAACACTCAACGTTAACAACACATTTCAAACAAAAGAACACACATAATTCCAATTAACTGTGTATGTGTAAAATATCATTTATGTCATACAAATTATCAATCACTTCAAGTTGAATTGATATCCAAACTTTCCAAAATGAATTGTAACCAAGATGGTTTACGTTAGCGAAACATTCCCAGTACGAAGATCGTTAATGCTTCTCCAGGAGACCATGATTTCCTCACTCAGTCATAATATAGATCCGTGTCAGCTGGGGTGGGAGCCACGCCGATGTACGAGATGAAGCAGAGGGGTGCAGGGATCCCCACGTAGAGGATTGGTAGTAGAAGGTAGACGATTTACTTCAGGACCTAATGCATGAACAAAATCCCAGGACGTATAGTAAAGAAATTGGTACTGTAGAAGCTTATTTCGTTAGCGCTCTATATGAATTCTGTAAATGTTAAATATGTATTCACGCCCAGAAGCCGTGCACTATGCAGAGCTGCTTTAGTGTGATAGGTTACAGTTAATCTTGAGGCCCAAAACTTCAACAGTTGCATTTCTTCCGCCGACCACCGTCTGGCGATAGATTCAAAATCTCGGTCTCATATACATTTCATTCAACACGACTCTCGACACAAACATTTCATGGCATCATTAGACACTGTATGCCTTCGTCTTATATAAGTTATAATATATTACTCCAAAGTCTCATGATCTCTTTGAAATATACAAGGATGCTGTAGAATGTATGGCTCCTTTAAATGGCACAAGGCAATTGCTAGACTCATCACGTAGCTTATGTATAATACACACGTACTTACGCTTACCCAGGACATGTACATTCACCCATGCTTTCGCACCTGCCCCAGGCGCCAGAACTATCACTCTGAATACTGTGTATTGATCATCGCACGCACGATTGGTTAGATGTGTATATACTTGACACTGACATCAAACACTGATACTTGACACTGACATCAAACACTGATACTTGACACTGACATCAAACACTGATACTTGACACTGACATCAAACACTGATACTTGACACTGACATCAAACACTGATATTCTGTAACTCCGTGGAGAACATGATCGTCAATGTACGCGTGTGACGAGACCCGACTGAAGTAGGGTTGTCTGACCTCCTGTGACGTATAACGGCTTTCAACCTGTATCATAATTATGAATAAAATGTGTTTTTGTGATGTTTCTATCTTGTTGTCAAAATCGGGGACGCCAGTGGCGTGAAGCTGGAGAATAGGATGGAAAAGGGTTGGGTCAAGATGGTCAGATGTTCGTCAGTGATGTACACCGTGCATAGGTGATGTCCTGTAATGGATGTCTTCTGTGATAGGGTAATCCTCTGTTATATTGTTTGTTTGTTGTTTAACGGCGCACTCAGTAATATTCCAGCTATATGACGGTGGCGTGTCAATAATCGAGTCTCAACCAGACAATCCAGCGATTTATATCATGAACGTCGATCTACGTAATTGGGATTCGGTGGCACGCATCAACCAAGTCGGCGACCCTGACCACCCGATCCCGTTAGTCGCCTTCTACGGCATGGAAAGTCGCCTTTCACGGCAAGCATGGGTTGCTGAAGACATCTACTAACCTTCTAACTCTTCAAGAGAAATCTACATAATTTGTACATGCAGAAAGTAGTTTGATAAACACAACCGTGTGTTATCAAAGTCGATATACATTTGTGTGTGTATATATATATATATATAATAGATTCTAATATTCTACCCCGGATAGGTGATCTCCTGCTGTAATAGATGTTTACTGAGAGTGGGTGATCTCCTGCTGTAATAGATGTCTACTGAGAGTGGGTGATCTCCTCCTGTGATAGATGTCTACTGAGAGTTTGTGATCTCCTGCTGTAATAGATGTCTACTGAGAATGGGTGATCTCCTGCTGTAATAGATGTCTACTGAGAGTGGGTGATCTTCTGCTGTGATAGATGTCTACTGAGAGTGGGTGATCCCCTGCTGCAATAGATGTCTGCTGAGAGTGGGAGATCTCCTGCTGTAATAGATGTCTACTGAGAGTAGGTGATCTCCTGCTGTAATAGATGTCTACTGAGAGTGGGTGATCTCCTACTGTGATAGATGTCTACTGAGAGTGGGTGATCTCCTGCTGCAATAGATGTCTACTGAGAGTGGGTGATCTCCTGCTGTAATAGATGTCTCTGAGAGTGGGTGATCTCCTGCTGTAATAGACGTCTGCTGAGAGTGGGTGATCGCCTCCTGTAATAGATGTCTACTGAGAGTGGGTGATCTCCTGCTGTAATAGACGTCTGCTGAGAGTGGGTGATCGCCTCCTGTAATAGATGTCTACTGAGAGTGGGTGATCTCCTCCTGTGATAGATGTCTACTGAGAGTGGGTGATCTCCTGCTGTAATAGATGTCTACTGAGAGTGGTTGATCTCCCCCTGTAATAGGTGTCTACTGAGAGTGGGTGATCTCCTGCTGTAATAGATGTCTCTGAGAGTGGTTGACCTCCTGCTGTAATAGACGTCTGCTGCTGAGAGTGGGTGATCTCCCCTGTAATAGATGTCTACTGAGAGTGGGTGATGTCCTGCTGTAATAGATGTCTACTGATAGTGGGTGATCTCCTCCTGTGATAGATGTCTACTGAGAGTGGGTGATCTCCTGCTGTGATAGATGTCTACTGAGAGTGGGTGATCTCCTGCTGTAATAGACGTCTGCTGCTGAGAGTTTGTGATCTCCTGCTGTAATAGACGTCTGCTGCTGAGAGTGGGTGATCGCCTCCTGTAATAGATGTCTACTGAGAGTGGGTGATCTCCTGCTGTAATAGATGTCTGCTGGTAGTGAGTGATCTCCTGCTGTAATAGATGTCTGCTGAGAGTGGGTGATCTCCTACTGTGATAGATGTCTGCTGAGAGTGGGTGATCTCCTGCTGTAATAGATGTCTACTGAGAGTGGGTGATCTCCTCCTGTGATAGATGTCTACTGAGAGTTTGTGATCTCCTGCTGTAATAGATGTCTACTGAGAGTGGGTGATCTCCTGCTGTGATAGATCTCTACTGAGAGTGGGTGATCTCCTGCTGCAATAGATGTCTGCTGAGAGTGGGGGATCTCCTGTTGAATAGATGTTTACTGAGAGTGGGTGATCACCTGCTGTAATAGATGTCTACTGAGAGTGGGTGATCACCTCCTGTGATATATGTCTACTGAGAGTGGGTGATCTCCTGCTGTAAGAGATGTCTACTGAGAGTGGGTGATCTCCTGCTGTAATAGATGTCTACTGAGAGTGGGTGATCTCCTACTGTGATAGATGTCTACTGAGAGTGGGTGATCTCCTGCTGCAATAGATGTCTGCTGAGAGTGGGAGATCTCCTGCTGTAATAGATGTCTACTGAGAGTTGGTGATCTCCTGCTGTAATAGATGTCTACTGAGAGTGGGTGATCTCCTCCTGTGATAGATGTCTACTGAGAGTGGGTGATCTCCTGCTGTAAGAGATGTCTACTGAGAGTGGGTGATCTCCTACTGTGATAGATGTCTACTGAGAGTGGGTGATCTCCTGCTGCAATAGATGTCTGCTGAGAGTGGGAGATCTCCTGCTGTATAGATGTCTACTGAGAGTTGGTGATCTCCTGCTGTAATAGATGTCTACTGAGAATGGGTGATCTCCTCCTGTGATAGATGTCTACTGAGAGTGGGTGATCTCCTGCTGTAATAGATGTCTACTGAGAGTGGGTGAGCTCCTGCTGTAATAGATGTCCACTGAGAGTGGGTGATCTCCTACTGTGATAGATGTCTACTGAGAGTGGGTGATCTGCTGTAATAGATGTCTACTAAGAATGGGTGACCTCCTGCTGTAATAGACGTCTGCTGAGAGTGGGTGATCTCCTGCTGTAATAGACGTCTGCTGCTGAAAGTGAGTGATCTCCTGCTGTAATAGACGTCTGCTGAGAGTGGGTGATCTCCCCTGTAATAGATGTCTACTGAGTGTGGGTGATCTCCCCCTGTAATAGATGTCTACTGAGAGTGGGTGATCTTCTGCTGTAATAGATGTCTACTGAGAGTGGGTGATCTCCTGCTGTAATAGATGTCTACTGAGAGTGGGTGATCTCCTACTGTAATAGATGTCTACTGAGAGTGGGTGATCTCCTGCTGTAATAGACGTCTGCTGAGAGTGGGTGATCTCCCCTGTAATAGATGTCTACTGAGAGTGGGTGATCTCCCCCTGTAATAGATGTCTACTGAGAGTGGGTGATCTTCTGCTGTAATAGATGTCTACTGAGAGTGGGTGATCTCCCCTGTAATAGATGTCTACTGAGAGTGAGTGATCTCCTACTGTAATAGATGTCTACTGAGAGTGGGTGATCTCCTACTGTAACAGATGTCTACTGAGAGTGGGTGATCTCCCCTGTGATAGATGTCTACTGAGAGTGAGTGATCTCCTACTGTAACAGATGTCTACTGAGAGTGGGTGATCTCCCCCTGTAATAGACGTCTGCTGAGAGTGGGTGATGTCCTGCTGTAACGGAGGTACACCCGGGATGTGGTAGCTCCTGTTAAAATGGATGGATTCCCAGTGTGGACCAAGACCGCCACCGTGGTCTAATGGAAGAGCGTCCACCCGGAGAGCGGAAGGTCGCGATCGGGGTTCGATCCCCGACTGCGTCATACCAAAAGACGTTAAAAGATGGTACTTGTTGTTACCCTGTCTGGCGCTCGGCATTAAGGGGCTAAAACAAGGACTGGTCGGCTCGGAGTCAGTATACCGTGTCTGAGTGGGGTATTCATGTTATACTGCGGCATGGTATCTCAGTGAGCTAGCACTATAAATCGGCATCAGTCCGGACTAGTACAAGCAGCCACACACATACACGTGCATGCACGTCGCTATATAAGTGCAATCATCTTGGACGCGACGTTAAACCCTATTTCACCTCACCCAGAGTGGACCAGTGAGGACCACGTGATCAGTCATGAACGTCGTCTCAGCGGTAACAGGTCTATTTTAAGTCCGCTTCAATAAATCTGGTTGAAATTGGGCTTATGTTGAAGTTTATGTCTGGTGAAGATATTGACGGAATCAGAATGAATTCCAGTTGGATTTCAGGAGGTGTTATTTGTATGTAAATATATACACTATATATTTGTTACTATACACTCCAATGCAAAAGTGTGTTATTGTGTCCTTCAGTAAAAATGCGAAAAATCAACAGAGACCATAAGTCGACAAACATTGCGAAAACTAATTCATTATTTTATGGCCCTAATTAGCTGTTGGACTATCACGTTCCGGTTTACGGCAATACTCTATAATTAATCCAACTCTAACTATATGATGCGCATCGATCCACGCAATTGGGAGGGATACGATACCATGCATCAACCAAGTCAGCGAGCCTGACCACCCGATCCCGTTAGTCACCTCTTACATAAACAACACCGTGTGTTTTCACAGTTGATATAAAGTTGATATACAGTTGTATATATATATAAATATATATAAATATATATATATATAAATATATATATATATATATATATATATATATATATATATATATGGAACCGAAATACAATATGTTGAAGCAAAACCTGTTGTGTATCAGATTATGGTTATGCAATGTTGTGTTATAACGATAGATCACGAGAGCGAAACGTGTGTCCTGTGATACATGTGTTTTGGGACACTGGCTGGTTACACCCAAGCTGATGGTCATTAGATTGTTCAGAAGTCCTCGACAATTCCATTGTATTAGGGATAGCAGAACAACTCATGGGGGTTTCACTGGAGATCGTGCGCGGGAGGAAGACCCTCTCCGTTGAATTGGCGAGGAGGTTCAAAGGGATTACACTTGATCATAGCAACTTATCAAACTTGATGAGAAGATCATTTCAGAACATGCACAATTAGGAAAATCACAAACAAATCATTGTTTCTGGGCCACAACTGTCATAATAATTTTCTTTCACACGTTTGCGTTAAATCGGTGATAACTTCAAATTGACAGGTCAAATCATGCAGATTCCTGATGTCAAAGGAGCCGACTTGTTTGCAGCCGTAAAAGCGTCTTGCCTGCACCCTAAAACGCGGCCGTTCAGCCATACTCTAGTTCCATTGGTAATCACATCGTACCAGCAGGCTCAATCCCAGTGTATCTACAGGTTAATGTTGAACCACATCATAGATCGGGGTTGTCATCTTGCTTTGTAACCTGTCTGCTGAGGCACAGAAAATGTAAACAATGACAGCCTTATTGACAGTTTTGAGTGAGTGAGTGAGTTTGGTTTAACGCCGCTTTTAACAACAGTATTCCAGTCATATCACGGCGTGTCAGCTTAGTGTGGGAGGAAAGCCCGAAGTGATGCAGGTGTCAGACGTTTATCACTTCGGTGAAACCAACGAGCACGGGTATGGTGCTGACAAACCTAGAAACATAATCGGGGCGAACCGGGATTCGAACCAACAATCATAGGTTTCTGGCGTGCCTAAGGAACGCAACTCTGCACAGCGAATCGCTGTGCCTGAGACGACTGGGCCACCCGTGTCCCCGACAGTTTTGAAGTGTGAGTAACTGTGATGTAGGTCAAGTTCTGCCACATCGTTGTGGAGAGGTGTTTGTTTATCTTGATTTTTTTATTATTTACTGGGGTTGATTGCTAACAAACTAATAACACTAACACATGCAAAATATATAGTAGAATGTTTATTCATGAAGTTTATTGTAAAAATATATTCGTTATGCATTTTAAGAACTTCTACAACCTGTCACCCCTACAATGAAAATGGCATGTTCTATTTTGGAAATGACTTCTCTCGGTGATTTACAAGAAATAACTTGGTGAGTCCAAACAGTGCGGAGCAGGTTTGTTGAATTGAAATTAAAACATCTGTCTTTGGACTAAGTTTGGAGGGTTATTTATCAACTTCTGTTTGACTAACGATGTGTTTTGAACACTTATTTTGAACTACTCAAGACTACGTTGTTTTTTTATCCTGTACATTAGTAATGATTGCTACATATATAACTACCTGTGACCACTTTTTGGAATGTTCTAAGATTGTGGACTTTTGTACCCTGTGTTATTACACATTGCAAGAGAGCACCGTTTTCAAAGCGTTGTTGCCATCATGGTAGAATGGCGATAAACCTACTGTATTTTGAAATTTGATGTACTCGCACTGTAGAGAAGATACCTCTTATTTATACACTTGAAGGGGCGGTCGGGTAGCCTAGTGGTTAAAGCGTTAGCTCATCACGCCGAAGACCCGGGTTCGATTCCCGACATGGGTACAATGTGTGAAGCCCATTTCTGGTGTCCCCCGCCGTGATATTGCTGGAATATTGCTAAAAGCGGCGTAAAACCATACTCACTCACTATACACTTGAAACCTCGCGCTGAAGTGCTCAGTTCCAAATTAAACTAAGAGGTATCTACTCTACAGTGGGACTACATCAAATTTCAAAACACAGTAGGTTTAGCTCCTAAAGCGACTCTACGTTATGCAGATATTTCTATTGGATATAGAAAGGGTATTGTTGCTTTATTTCATATGGATATCATAATAAAAACAACTTCCAAGATGAATTACTCAATGAGAAAACTCAGAGCATGCTTTGAATACATATGTGAGGTATGGGATGGTTGCCTTGAAGAACAACGTGGAATATTAGAAAATTACAATTAGAAGCTGCACACATTGTAACTAGCCTACCTCAATATGCTCCAGGCAGCATTTTTATTGAGAAACCGGGTGAGAACCTTTAGTTGAGCTTAGAAAGAAACATTAACTTTGTCTTTTCTTCAAAACAAATTCCTATCTGGCAGATATTCTACCAAACACTGTTGCTACAATAACTCTTAAGAAACTCTGAAAATACAAGTGCTGTTCTTATTTTCCATTATCAGACCAAAATTCTACGATTTTCTGTTCTTTACAAAAGTACCCCCTACGTCACCCACGTACTTGAATAACTACACTATAATATCTTACATACAAAACTGCGGATACATGTGCAGTCAATCAAATTATGATTTATATGGAATTGGTATAAAAGAACACCATACATGTACGTGTTTATCCCATTAAATGAATATTGTTTAGTCACCAGTGTGTATCTATGATTAACAGCCTTTAAAATATTGTTCACAACATACATGGTGGTGTGAATCTTCTGTTACACGGCATAACATGTTTTTACAGATAATGATAATGAGATAATATATGTAAGACAGCCTAACATTATATATGTGTAAAGAACTGTTCTCTGAACAATGCATCTTTCTCTCCTCTCTCTATCTCACAGACACACTCAGTATTGTATGTATACATACTGAATTAAATACCAGGGAGATGCAATCTAAAGTAGCATGTCCTCCAGTCCCTTTGCTTCTTGTAAATCATTATATTTAAATCAGCGAGTGGAAAGCGGAAGACAAATCTAGCATTTCCTCACTGGCTCCATGATAGCCGCGAAATAATGCTCAGAAGGGCACTTGATGAGCACACCTGAAATACTCCTCCTTTCCCCCAAAATGTTCTTGAATACATCTCCTATATGTATGAGATGAGACAAGGTGTACATTCTCCTTGGTAAGCTTAGTCGGATAAAGTGCTGTTGCTTGGGATTCTCCCGTTCGTTGGTATCATCGACTTTCAAGACATCATGGAGATGTTTACATCGTATGCCACCTTCTACATACAGGGCACAGTGCAGGGCCCAAGCTGGATACTGTGCTGTGGGAATGTGGGGTAAACATTTAGCAGCGTTAATGTAGATGGCACTTCCTACTGGCTCAACTAATGGGACGCCGGCCTTCTTCAAGATGTCTCCAAACGTGGACAAACTTTCGATTCTGTACTTCAGATACCCGTCATCCGTTCCTTCCCTGAGGCCTCTGGCTACAGCTTCCATATCCCGGCTAGATATCCCACCATGGTTGGAATTGCCTTCAATGTAGATCATTCGTCTTTTGAATTTTCCGTATATATCAGAGAGTCGAGTGGCGAAAAAGCCACCAATGTTACACAATCCATCCTTTTTAGCAGACATGTACATTCCATCAAAGTAGGAGAACATTTCCAGAGCTATATCTCTTGCGGGAACACCTTGATACACTTTGTTTCGTGTTTTGATGAAATATGCATTTTCTGCAAAACGACATCCATCCATAAACAGAGGGGTATCATGCATCTTGCAGATTTCAGAAACATGTTTGATGTTTGCCATGGATACTGGCTGTCCTGCTTGATTGTTGCTGGTTAGGGTCAAGATGACAATAGCCTTGCCTGCATCCACCTCTCTGAGCTCTTCCTGTAACCGTGCACAGTCAAGATCTCCATTGAAGTTTCCACCTACAACTTGTTTGCAAGGAACATCTACCACTATCGCTCCACTAAGTTCAGCATTTGTACGCCCTGTGATATACATTGTGTTACTGAATACAGTGAGACCTGGCCTAGCTAGGACTGAGAAGAGAATATGTTCTGCTGCTCTGCCTTGGTGAACGGGAAGAATGTATGGAAATCCAGTTAAACGTTTGATGCTATCAACAAAAGTGTCAAAGCTCTCGGGATTGATGCAACCTTCGCTTGTATCCACCATGGCAGCCCACTGGTGTTGGCTCATTGAAGCCATGCCGGAATCACTCCAAAGGTCAAAGATAACATACTTGTCTTTGATCTGGAACGGATTGTAGCCGCTTTCATGTAGAATTTTCAAGCGTTCTTCTCTGGTTGGATTCGGCAATGGCTCCACCATCTTAATGCGGAAGGGCTCCATAAATGACATTCTCTAAAGTGAAAAGGTATTTGAATTTGAATTGAATTACATTAAAAACAATTGAGTGAGTGATTGAGTTAAAATAAAAGTCTCATCGGCAATATTTCAGCCATATCGTGACTATCAAGGGCTAAACATAATAAATTCATTTACACTATATAAACACCTGCGGACACAGGACAGTAAAATAACTAAAAGTATCACAGAAAAAATGGGGTAGGCCTAAATGTACTTTGAATGATGTGGAACTTCCGTTAACCCCCTTCAACAGTACAGCCACTGAAATCTCATTTGCAGACTTAATCTACTAATATTTAAACGACATTAAGATCTTTTAGAAAATCAATTTCTTTCCAACAATTCAATTTCCTGTTAAAATCCAGTAATCAAGCGAGAAATATAACCATTAAAAAGATACTTGAGAGATGATGATTTGAAATATTTATCCCTCGTCATGGCAAAACCAATAGTCAATCGGAACATGCTTGACTGTGATTCTCTCATCAAAATGGAGGATCCCAACCGTTCAATAAGTATTCATGTGTATATTTGCTATGGCCAATTCTACAAGGTCATATTATGACCTCTTCAAATCTGGACAGACAACCTAGACAAGTGTAACAGAAAGTTGGTTTTATTTCATGTGATATCTTTATACATACTTGCGTGTCCCATTTCTTTTGCTTAGGAAATATTGATGTAACATCTAATTCTAAAATATCAAGTAAAAGTGGAAGTTTTCATAGGAAATGTTCTTCATGGCCTGAAGACAGGGAATCGGGAATTAGTATGAACTGTTTATGTTTAGATTGAGCATATATACATTTAAGAGCTGTAAACATTGCGTTTGATTCTTCTGTTAAAATTAAACTATATTTGGTAATCTTGATGACATAGTTGGCAGTCGCAAGTACATCACCATCTTTGTATTCATCTGGAAATATATATTTGTAAGTGCTATATGTGTTACGCAACTGATTATATTGTCGTAAGTAGATTAGTTAGTTTCTTTCTGATTTCTTGACTTTAGTTAATGACAGGTCAACCAACTGTACCAACTGCCATGGTGGAGAAGAAAAAGCTGAGTTATATTTTGAAGATTGATATTGGCAGCAGGAATGGATGTTTTGATGGATCCAAGGCAAAGATGGACACTGGATGTTGGTTATTAAAAACTTCATGTTGAACAAAATACTCTAACGAAATGGTCAACAATACTTCGATTTTTCAGAAATCCGCACTGAATATTTGTTAATAAATTATTACATCCAAAGTTCCATATCAATCTATTGTTGACCATGCGTTCCGTGGTTTTGCAAACGAATCTGGTCAAGGAAATAGATCTATAATTGGAAGGAGCAGTGTGATCCCGTCAAGGTTTAGGTATGGCAACAACTATGGCATCACGCCATGAAGACAGAAATTTTCCTGACGCCCAAATTTTATGAAATATTAATAGAACATGAACGTCTGTATCCTTGACCATTATTCATTTCTTTTTGTGGTACTTAGTATTGTATTACTGGCCAGAGATTGGGAATAGTCAGTGTGGTGGAAATGTATTTCAAACAAGAGACGCGCTAAACAATTTAAAAAATACTGCTGATACAAAAGTGATTACTGTAACAAAAATGTAACACATTATTGATGCTTACGTTGTGCGTCAAAATGAGATTTTAGCTTCAGAGAACTGTAAACTTGTCCACGTGGTATATTGAGGTCCTGCGTTATTCTGAAACACGTTCATACAAACAAATGAGAAGCCATTAGAGTACCATTCTAGCTGTATATATGTCCAAATACTCAAACATGCTTTTGGTCACTATTCACAACCGGTTCTTCATATCCAATCGATTAACCACTTTGATTCAGAGCAGAACAAATGCAAAATTCGTCCTGTTCAAATGATTAATCGATTAGAGTATTTCTCTGTAATCTGTCTGTCCGTATACAAGAGTAGCTATTGTTCTATCAAAACAATACCATTGGATTGGGATTCGGAATTTTGTATTTCTGTGAAGTACACACCAATATGAACAGTCAAAATCGAAGTTGTTGCCATGGGAATTTGTTTTCTAAACACCCCGAAGTAGCAAAAGGCAAACTGGTGTGTGCAAAGTGTCATGAAAGAATACCTATCAGTTTTAGAGATATGGTCAGGACAAACACACCACTATGAACAGAGTCCAAGTCAAACTTGTTGCCATGGAAAATAATTTCTAAATAACAAAAAAAACAACCACTTCAGCACTTGGTTAATACATGTACCAGGTTAGGATGAAAAGTCTTTCACAGTTTTCAAGTTGTGCTCCGGAAACGACACCTACCCCTACATTCTTAGACTAAGTCCAAATTGTTCCCATGGAAATCAAGAAAAAATAAAAATGCCAATAATCCGCAAATACCCAAAGCCACCACATCAGGATCTGTGTGATATATCTGCCAAGTTTTGTTAAAAAATACAGAACGGTTTTCGAGTTACGCTGAAGAAGCCCCCCAAAAAAGTCGCGAAATAATTATCCGTGAAACCAGCAATCGTGTCCTTTCAAAATTTCAAAATAGCAAAAGGTACCACTTCAGCGTGGAATGATACATCTTTCAAGTTTCGATCAAATATACTGAATTGTTTTTGAATTCTGCCCCGGAAACGAACCCCATCCCCAATGGAGTCTATGTCCAACTTCTTTCCATAACAATTTAAAAAAAATAAAAATTCGAAAAATCCCAAAATATCAAAAGGCACCACTTCACTATGTGACTGATAGATTTGACAAGTTTCGATCAAATACACTGAATGGTTTTCGAGTTCTGCCTCGGAAAAGGAAATGATTGCGGACAGACAGACGGACAGACAGACGGACGGGCGGACAGACAGACGGACAGGCAGACTGGCTGATCGCTTTATCCCCCTGCATTATATGTCGGGGGATAATAAACAAGTTGTTCATCCATATATCTTATCCTTACTAAAAATCATTTCACATAACATCAGTTTCAAAATCGGTGACTTTCCTGTGGATCAAGTGTGGTGATATTGTTAGAAAACTGTCAACTGCAATAAAGCGGCGCATTACCAACCAAAGATTGCCCAAAATGAACTTGCGTTACCAGCTTGTCCTGGTCTTTGCATCAGAAAGTCTGTTACAACATGTGCAACATGTGGGTGGGCGGGCATTATCCTGCTTCAACGTGACATTACGTTCTGGTATTTGTACCGTACGGCGCCTGTTGACCTTTGCAAGACAGGATAACAGGATACTGCACCAGTCTTCTCTTCTGTACCTCAGATGGTGTCTACACCAAGCTATGCGTGCCCGACGTTAACGTGGCAGCTTCTGCTATTAACTGGTATCAACCCAGGAAGTCCGAACTGTTAATGTTGCAGTTTGGTATCGATTCCGTAGATGCACAAACCGAATATGGTTGTTTTCTTGACGTGACTCCATACGTGGACGACCGGCCCGTGGCAAGTCATCAGTGTTGCCTGCTGTAGATAACGTTTCCAAAGAGATGATATTGTGTATTGATGAACATTAAAATGTTTCGCAACTTCACTTTTCGCAACTGTTGTTTGAAGCATACCCAAGGCGTGTAGACGTTGACTTTCAGCAGGACGTGGCCTTGTGTAAGCGTTATTTACGGTTAAAGAAAAGTGTTTTAATGAGCACCTGATGAGTCAACGATCATTGTGTGCTATTCACTTTTAAAAAGCCTGTGCGTGATCATCATGCTTCCAACATCCAAATTGTGTGAATCAAACCCTTAATGTCGAGGAGATGCCTTCATGAATATGCATTGAAAAGGTGCAATATTACATTTCAGAATAGATTTATTTTTTAACTCTATATGAAAGACAGTTACGTTTTTCCGTTAGTATATTCTATAAATAAAATCGGTTCTGATTAGTGTCAAAGAAGGTATTCAACCATGGAGTATGTTGTTTTTGTGACATGTTTGACGTTCAAAGACAAATATATGCGACTCAATTAACACAGGAAAGTAATCATAATATATGGAACTACAATGGAGAATTTTTATAATTAAAACATTCATGATCTAATCAGAAGCATTCCCCAAAATGCACAGAAATAGCCGAAATCGAAACAAATATACTCAACAACAAAAGTTCCTGAGACACCAATATTTTAGTATATTTTTTAAACAAGTAAAGTTTGGTTTTCAATATTGTAGTACATGTATGGAATCAGGTCACAAAAACGCAACTGCTACAGAAAAGCATGAATTCCACGCAAAAGTTGACTTTTATGCAAGTCCCATGCATTTCACTACCCCAAAATGGGTATAAAAAACATGTGCGTTAAGGGGATTCCAAATGCATTGTTTAGCATCGTGCTGACAACCACTCAGAAAAACAGCAAAATTTTGCAAGTATTCAAAATTACTAAATGCCACGCCTGTCCGAAAATGAGCGTCTGCGAGCCATTGGTGTGCTTAATGCAGGATCGAGTCAACGTCATGTTGCAAGACAATTTAACGTCCACAGAGACACCATTTGATGTTTATGGCATCGTTGGCAACAGACGAATGCAGTCAGAGACCATTCTCGGAGTGGCAGGCCACGCGTAACCAATAATCGACAAGACAAAAGGATTCGAACAACACACCTACGAAATCGATTCCAGCCAGCAACAGTGACAGCAAGAAGCATCCCTGGGCTTCGACGAATATCTTCACAAACCGTACATCGTCGCCTCAGATGTGCAGGGATTGTCGCCAGAAGATCCGCCAGACGTCCCATTTTGACAGGAAACCACCGTCAAACACGTCTACAGTGGTGCAGCGTTTACGCTGGATGGCCATGCAGTGGGTACAAGTTCTATTCACTGACGAGTCTCGTTTTCATCTCAGCCACAACGATGGACGGATTCGAGTGTACCGACGTCGAGGTGAACGTTACGTCAATCATTGTGTCATGGAAGAAGAACGGTTCGGGGGCGGCAGCATCATGGTATTGGTTGGTATTACAGCAAGACAGAGGACCCGTTTGATAGTGGTAGAGGGACAGCGCTACCGCGACGAGATCATCGGCCCTGTTGTTCTACCGTTTTTGCGTCGTCATGGCCAAGGCATTACCTTTCAACTTGACAACGCCCGGCCTCATATTGCTCGACTTGTTCAGGATTCTCTCCTTAACAAAACAACGTTAATGTCATCCCCCTGGCCGGCTCGCTCCCCTGTTCTGTTACCAATCAAGCACATGTGGGATGAGATTGATCGGCGCCTTCGACGTCAACCACGTGTTCCACAGACACTCCAGGAACTTCGAAACATGCTCCAGCAGATATGGACAGATATCCAACAGGACTTTGTGCGACGCCTGGTCCATTCCATGAGACGAAGATGTGTTGCTTGGGTCGCAACCAGAGGTGGACACACACGCTATTGATTTGTAAATTGACATTTTGGCATGTTCATGTTATTTTTATGAAATCACGCATTTTCTGAAGTCAGTATGGCAAATTAAACCATTTGAACACCAACATGAGTCTTTTATCTGTTGCAAACCGAAATTGTTTCAGATTTGGTAAAAAACATAACTTTGAATTAAATCTTATTCAATGTCACAGGAACTTTTGTTGTTCAGTATATTATCATGCAATGATGCTACACATGTTTTATTATGGTATTATGGGGCACGGGTGGCCCAGTCGTCAGAACAGAACTTTACTTACGCTCAGGTTGGTTGGTTGGTTTGTTGTTTAACGCCGCACTCAGCAATATTCCAGCTATGTGACGGCGGTCTGTAAATAATCGAGTCTGGACCAGACAATCCAGTGATTAATATCATGAGCATCGATCCACGCAATTGGGATCGATGACATGCATCAACCAAGTCAGCGAGTCAAATTTTACAGCCAACGAGAAAGGGATAACTAATAAATACTTTTCAAGGACGAGTTCAGTTTTAATATGCGATATGTGATATCTTTAGAAGAATTTGTAATCTCTGCATTCCATGTTTGAGTTGCTATGTCAGATAATCCTAACGACATGATAGATTTAAGGACATTATGAGGAGCTGCTTGTTGGCTTAACAAATAGAAACGGAAGCCCGTTTCATTGAAAATAATTTCCAAACATTTTATCCATTTATTACAGCTATTGTTTGTACAGACTTCATCGTGTAACATTTGATATAGAATTCTTGATAACTATTGTTCTGTGCCAGATAAGACCTTAGCCCCAACACATACCATTCGACATTTGATAGAATTACTCAAAGGGGCTGTTCCAAGTTCTCCATACAACATGTATAAAGATGTACTTTTCTTAATGGGAAGCAATTTACGTAGAAAGTTAAGGTGAACAGGTGAACAACTGTTTACAATTTTCAAAACCCCAGATTTCACAACCATATAATAGAATTGGTTTTACCATAGCATCGAAGAGATATATTGACATTTTATGGGTAGAGTAAATGTTTTACTTTTACGTAATACAAAATACATGGCCTTCACAATTTGCTTTTATAGAAGTTTTGAAAGAGCTTTTATTTGATAAGTGAATTCCAAGATATTTAAAATCAGTCACATATTCAATCGGTGAGCCATTTAATACTATATGTTTACTCTTGTCTCTTCTTGTACCACCAAAAACTATATTTTTTGTTTTACTGGTATTGATATGCAATCTCCATTTTCTGCAGTAAAGTGAAAAAAATACAAACATATTTTGTAAACTTTCATAATTAAAAGCTTACAAAACTGTACCATCTGCATAGAGTAATGCGAACAACTCAGAGATCTAACAGACCATTAAGTGACTGTTCTGAATATACACCGTTTGAACACACACATGATTTAATGGCATCGTACATATTAACAATAGTACGAATGAGTTTTCCATCAATACCTTGTGCTGAAATTTGTTTTCCGTAAACCGATACGCCAAACATTGTCAATTGCCTTTTTGAAATCAACGAAACCACAATACAAATTTTTCTTTCTATTTTTTAGAAAATCAATAATTGCATACACGGTAAAAAATATGATCATTTGTGGAGTATCCATGTCTAAAACCCGCTTGTGATTCAGACAGAATGTTATTACTTTCAACATAATCGTTTAATCTTTTATAATAACTCAGGGAAACAATTTTCCGTGGCAACTGATAAGACTTATGGGCCGAAAGTTTCCAGGGTCATCCGTACTTCCTTTACCTTTGCAGATCGGACGAATAATTCCGTTTAACCATTGTTCTGGAGATATCCAAGTGTCAAAGGCGCCACGATTCGCTGTGCAGAGTTGCGTCCCTTGGGAACGCCAGAAACCTATGATTGTGGGTTCGAATCCCGGTTTGCCTCGATTATGTTTCTAGGTTTGTTAGCACCATACCCGTGCTCGTGGGTTTAACCGAAGTGGTAAATGTCTGAGAACTGCATCAATTTGGGCTTTCCTCCAAAATTAAGCTGACACATTGTGATATAACCGGAAAACTGTTAAAACCTGCGTTAAACCCAACTCACTCACTATTATGATATTTTTGTACAGCACTCTGATACTTAATATTAGATAAGTGGCTAATGAAGAAACAAAAAAACAGATTTTGCTTGTCGAGTCTTTTTCTTATGATATCGGCATGTCCTTTGGACTCGACAAATGCAACATTCTTCATTTGAAACGTGGCAAGGTAGAGGGGAAAGATCAGTCAGTTTACTTTACGGAGGAGTTATTGACCATCTCGTGGAAGGTCAGCCCTATACGTACTCCAGAATGCCCATAGCAAGGTCAAACTTCGGGCAGAGTACAAATGTAGACTTAAGAAAATCTGGAGTTCAGAGTTGAACGTTCGCAATAAAGTCAAAGCCACAAATGCTGATGCTGTACTCGTCCTGTCGTATTCTTTTGGTGTTGTTGATTGGACGAAACAAGAAATCCAGGGTATTGACACCCTCACACGAAGAATCATGTCAGACAATAGATCCCACCACCCTCGCCCTTCACTGTATCGCTCATATTTAACAACATGATGGAAGGGCGTGGTTTGATTAACGTTTGGGCTCTTCATAATAGAATTGTTTTGTGCACATTCGCACCCATTTGTCTGATGATTCTCCTGTGAAGCATGTCAAGATTCATGATAAGGCATTCCACAGTTTTCTAAAACGAGCCAAGGATGTGGGACATAATCCCAATGTCAGTTTTGATTTTGTTGATGGTTCTGTACTGCTGGACGGTACAGAAATGAGTGTCAGCCAAGCGAAATGCCATATCAAATCGGCCCAGGCTCATGTTTTCTAGGAGAGTCTTTCTGAACGACCACTGCATCAAGTTTACATGCAATGTGTTGATCAGCAACCCTGCAGAGTCCTTCGCTTGGATGAAGTTGGCTGGCCTGAAAAGTGAAACAGAAGGTTTTCTGTTTGCTGCACAGGACCAGTCACTTCCCACTCGAAACCGTCAATGTGTGATTTTTCATCAAAATGTAAATATGAAATGTAGATTAATGTAACTTAATGACACAGTCCAGCACATTGTCAGTTGATGCCCATCCTTGGCACAGACACAGTATCTTGATGATGGTGTAGCTCGATCCTTGTATTACCATACCCGCAATGCTTGTGGTTTTGACACAGTGGTCCATCCATGGTACGATCTTGAAAATGTAGAGGGCGTCATGGAAAATGATAAATACAAAATTCTTTGGAATAGGCCCGTATACAGCCTCAGACGTATCTAGGCCAACAAACCTGATAAATCCAATGAAATCATTTATATTATTGAATTTTCTGTCCCTCTTGACACAAATGTGATTGACAAGATTCATGAAAAACATGGCAAATATGCGGATCACGCTTTTGAAATGTCATGCTTGCATCCCAAGTACCAAGTTGTCCGACTCCCCATTGTTCTCGGTGCCTTAGGTTTGGTACCTCCCAATCTGTTGACTGACAGAGTACCCGGGTTTGCTACCAGGAATAAAGCCCTTCTGACAATCTGGGTAGTGCAGAAGGCTGCAGTGTTGGGGAGTCTTCACATTCTCCGCAAAGTTCTGGGTGGGTTTGACTAGGCAGCACTTCCTAGGAGACGTCCATTCTGGGCTGCGTGTAGAAGGGTCAAAGGCCCTGAGCTGATGATGAACCTAACCAGCTTGACTGTGCCAGGATCACCTAAACCCTCTAGCTGTATTTTTTTATTTTAATCTGTACATTGTACAATTCCGACTATATCATGAAATGTGTTTATGAGTCACTATCAAATAGTTAAAGATACCAGGTGTTTGCGAAAAGGTGAGCGTATCCTGCCCCACCCGTCAAAAAAACATGTACATAGGAACATGTGGTACAAGTCAAAATAATGAATTACATCGGACATCATTTTTGTCACTGATGCGTCAAATTTCGAAATGTCTAAAAAACTTTTCGGAAGCTTTACTGTAGGCCTTGAATGTTGTATGTAACCTTGATCAAACAACTCTTCAGCAAGAATCGTATGACGGAGTGTCCAAGTCCTAAATATGATATGCTAGCACATACCTTTAGGCAACAAATAAAATGTATATTCATACACTGATGAAGGTTTTGAAACCGTATATGAATGCAATGCCAGATTAAACCACTCATTTTAATATATAGCTTCAAATCATGTGCAGCCATGCTTGCTGACAGAAACACACACAAAGTGAATACCTTCTAAAAAATGGGAACGTCACACAAAGGTTGTTTGTACATGTAGGCATTGCATCGAGTAATGGGGCAAGATTATTCTTTTATGTTGCTTCAACTTGCATTTTGATAGGATTCTGAAATGTGTTTATCAGACCGATAATCTACCCTGTATACGTGTGATTAGTGGTTGCATCAACAAAGCGATGCGTGCATACAATGCAACCCAATCTAAAAGTTGCCTCATCTCTATATATTTCATATTTGTCTTTATTATATTCCATTTCTATTTCATATTTCATGTTAAATCAAAAGACAAAAACCCCACTTTGAACAAATTCACAACATGAATTCCCCATGAATCAACATCACCAAAGCCTGGACTAGTTTCAGGCAGACGTTGATGTCAAAGTAGGAGCGTTGTGACACATTTTCAAACAGTGTCTTTTTAAACTGCAACTTTAGCATAATCAGGCAGCATGAGAGTTAAGTAATTTATGGTTGCTTTAATTCGGACTATTTACTTAATCTGTGCAGCACTACACCATCTTATTTCGATAGCCATTTAAACTGTATTAACTGGCAAAGGTAGTTTATCTTGTGAGGTGAAACTAAAGCGAAATATTCATCATCTCAATCTCTGACCATCTCCATTTTTGGACATTTTTGGAAAGGATAAATGCATTTTGATAGAGGGTCAGCAACATATCATCTTTTAATGTACCCACAGTGTGAAAATACGTATGGCTGCTAAAACCTTGGACGAAACAATCCAAACTACCACAATTAACCTTGAAACTAAGGTCAAGGAGGTCAGCATAAGTAACGAAGCTCTGTTTCAGAAAACACGAGAAAATATTTTGCTTAAATATATTTGGTTTTAGACCCAAACAGAAGCAAAGAAAACTGATCACTGGGAATGACCATTACCACGATTATATGTGATTTCTGGCACCCGGATTCTAGGATGAGTCATCCGGATTCCTGGTTTAACAGTCGGCTGAAAAACTGCCCATATTCACCGAATGTCAAATATAGAAACATGCCTTCAACTCATACAGAGCACGTATGTGTTTACATTACCGTTACCTCGATCATTCTGAAACATCATGGACCGTTTCTGTATTTTAATGAATCGTTTCTTTCATGTGGCTTGGAAATAGCTACGGAATGGATTAGATGTGGCCCTCTCGTATAAGCAATATACATGTATCAACACCATGAAGTACAGTGTAAGAGGTGAGGTGTAATTTAATGTTTTAAGATTATTGCACTTATAGAGCGACGTGCATGTACGTGTGTGTGTTTGTGTGGCTGCTTGTACTAGTCCGGACTGATGCCGATTTATAGTACTAGCTGACTGAGATACCATGCCGCAGTTTAACATGAATACCCAACTCAGACACAGTATACTGACTCCGAGCCGACCAGTCATTGTTTTAGCCCCTTAATGCCGAGCGCCAGACAGGGTAACAACAAGTACCATCTTTTAACGTCTTTTGGTATGACGCGGCCGGGGATCAAACCCCGGACCTTCCGCTCCCCGGGCGGAAGCTCTACCATTAGACCACGGAGGCGGTCGACAGTGTAAGAACGTACCAGAGACTTTGCAATTGCCAGCCGTGTAATACTTGTAAAAACAGTATGTGTCCCGAGATCTTACCTTTTTTTGCTTATGTTCTTCAAGTAACACAAAGACAAATCGCATGTTAACCTCAGGACACTGATTCTTCTGTTACGAGGTCGTGAGGCTGTGGTGCAGGGGGCCCTTATACCTCATGGACATGTCTCTGAAAAACGAGACAAAAAAGTCTTGACAGATTCATAACAATCTTTATATACAATTGAAAATAAACTGGTTTAAACCAGTGCAACCTGTTATACCAGTTTCGCCAGTCACGTGGGTGCCTCGTAACACGTTATCCTTTATGCTGCATGCATTCAAAAGAATTTTGTAATGTATTTTTTCCAAAAAAAACGGAGCCAATTATGGAGCAAAGAAAGATCAGCTTCGCCAGTCATACGGGTGACTGTCTTTTATGTTTCGACAGCAGACGTAATTCATGATTAACATATCGTTTTCATGTAATTTTCGCAGCTATTATTTTTTTATCTGTTAAATCTAGACTGGTTTTTCTCTTGCATTGATAAATCATATTTACTTGAACTGGGTCGATGTCTCTGTTGGGGGCCCGAAGCTCCCGAGTTTCATCAAAAGTAGCATTTATCTATGCTTAGACAGCTATAAAAAAAATGTTTTAGGCGAGACATAAAAACTGCCCCCAACCGTGTTGCCAAACTAATATATTTCTTCAACGCTTTTCTTTACTTAATAAGAAGCAGAATCTCTGCACTTGGACACGGTGGCGAGAACGTATTGAAGCATGTGACATGCAAACAATTTGTTATGCCGCGCAAAATAGTATTTTTATGTTGCTTCAATTTACATATAGATTGGTTTGTTAAACATGTTTATCAGACCGGTACCACACATGATGCGTTAGATTAGTGTTTGCATCAACAAAGCGATGTGTGAATCAACTGGGACCCAAGTTGCCTCATCTAAATATGTTTGATATTTGTCTTTATTATATTCATTATATTTCATATTTTATGTGAATCAAAAGATAAAAAACCCACTCTGATCATTAACCAACATCACCAAAGCATGTACTTGTGTTGGGGGCACGGGCGGCCCAGTCGTCTGAGGCGCCGCGATTCGCTGTGCAGAGTTGCGTCCCTTGGGCACACCAGAAACCTATGATTGTGGGATCGAATCCTGGTTCACCCCGATTATATTTCTAGGTTTGTCAGCACCATACCCATGCACGTACATGTAGGTTTTACTTAGGTGGTAAACGTCTGAAACCTGCATCACTTCGGGCTTTCCTCCCAAATTAAGTTGACACGCCGTGATATGATTGGAATACTGTTCAAAGCGGCGTTAAACCCAACTGACTCAACTATACTAGTGTCAGGCAGCAAGAGGTTGATGTCCAAGTAGAAGCGTTGCGACGATTTTTACACAATGTTTTTTGAACCGCAACTTTAGCATAATCAGTCACCATGAGAGTTAAGTAATTTATGGCTGCTATAATTCGGCTGCATAATCTGTGGGCCCGTGAAGATCCGGGGTAAATTGGTCTTCAGCAACCCATGCTTGCCGTAAAAGGCGACTATGCCTGTCGTAAGAGGCGACTAACGGGATCGGGTGGTCAGGCTCGCTGGCTTGGTTGATGCATGTCATCGATCCCAATTGTGTGGATCGATGTTCAAATTAATCACTGGATTGACTTGTCCAGACTCGACTATTTACAGACCGCCGTCATATAGCTGGAATATTGCTCAGTGCGGCGATAAACAACAAACAAACAAACAAACAAAACATAATCTGTGTAGCACAAGCTCATTTAATATTGATCGCCTAATAAAATGTATCAATTTGCAAAGGTAGTTATCTTGTAAGGGGACACTAAAGCGAAATATTCATCATTACAAATGTGTACAAAATCCAAACTGGCACAATTAACCTTGAACCTAAGGTGAAGAAGGTCACCAACAGTAATTAAGCTTTGTTTCAGAAAACACTCAACAATTTAACAACTTTGTCACAGCAACGTTGGTTGACCACGCTTTCCTTGTGGCCTTTGGAACCAGCACAATACAGTTGGGCCATAAGATGAGATTGCCGGAGCATGTATCAGTTCATCACTGAACCAAAGCAGATCGGGTGGAGTGAGTGAGTGAGTGAGTTAAAATTTTAAGTAACATCGGCAATATTTCAGCCATATCGTGACTATCAATAGTTAAACATAATACATATATTGAAACTTAAATAAAAACCTGTCAACGAAGGACAGTAAAGTAACTAGATATATAACAGAAAAAGATATAAAACCAGTACGGAATCATTAAAGAGAATAGCACTATACATAACGATACAAGATACAAACGGGCTATAGATAGTCAGCAACTGAAGGTAGGCCACCATACTGGGGACCATGGGGACTTACAGTACATTTTCTACCTGCATGGACCCCAGCAGGATGTCTACGTCTAAAAGAGTAGTAGGCGGAAATATTCTTTGAATCACATGAACTTACGATGCCCTCTCAAAGGGGGGGGGGGGGGGGGGGGGGGCAATAATTTTACACAACGTCAACCCTATTTGAGGATACGGCCAGTAACAAACTCAGATGTAATTTCATACTACCAATTTAAAAAATAAAATAATTTTATACAAGACATATTATCAAAATTTATTGACCAATTCTATCTCTTTTAAATCCCAATTACTAAATGAGAATTAATATTATAAAACAGATCCTTGAGAGATGATGATTTGAAACATTTATCCCTTGTGATGGCAAAATCAATACAGTCAAGCAGGACATGATTGACCGTGATTCTCTCATAAGGGAAACAAAATGGAGGTCCTTCACCTTTCAACAAATATTCGTGAGTATATCTACTAAGGCCAATACGACAACGTCGTAAAATGACCTCTTCAAATGTGGACTGACAACTCAAGTAGGTGTAACCGATATTTGGTTTAATTTCATGTACTTTATTGATATCTACTTGGGTGTCCCACTTCTTTTGCATAAGATCCCGGATGTAAGATCTAATTATAGGTTTATTATCACTGTATGGGATAAGAAGTGGTGTCATAGATTTGATGAGTGCTGCTTTAGTAACAGCATCGGCCATTGTGTTACCAGTGATACCAACATGGCTTGGTAACCAGCAAAAGACCATGTCGTACTGGACAGTAGCAAGATCATTATGTAGGTCAATAATTTCACATAATAGTTGATGTTCACAAGATATATTCTTAATTGCCTGAAGACAGGGAAGTGAATCAGAAAAGATAATGAACCTTTTATGTTTAGATTGAGTATTAATATAGTTGACAGCAGTTAATATTGCCTGTGATTCTGCTGAAAAAATGGAACTGTCATTCGGTAATCTAGATGATATGGTTCTGTATACAAAGACAGTGGCGCTGGCAACAGCGTCACCATCCTTGGATCCATCTGTAAATATGGATTTGTAAGTATCATAAGTGTTAATTCAGTATATTGTTGTTGATAAATTAGTTGATTTGGTTCAGATTTTTTTAGTTTGGTTAATGTGAGATCAACCTCTGGCCTTTCCATTTGCCAAGGAGGTGATGAAAACAGTTGAGAACGAGCAATATGGTGCAGTTTAATATTAGAAGCAAACAAGGCAGACTTGATTCTGATTCCGAGTGTTGGAACAAGAGAATTTTTTTTATTGTAAATATCTTGGTAAAGAGGATTTAAGACGCAATTAAAAGCTGGATTTGACTGATTAGAATATAATTTAGTGACATATTGTAGAGATACTTTCTGACGGCGTTGTTTAAGAGACCTCGTACATACAGACTGTGAATTGGAGACGTTCTAAAGGCTCCAAGGAAACGCCCCAGGCCCTGATGATGGATATTATCATCAGTAGTTTTGCAGGCTCCACCATAGACTATGGAGCCGAAATCAAGTTTGGAACGGATCAGTGATCTGTACAAGTGTTTGATCCCCTCCCCACTTAGAATTAGAAACTACTTTCAACAAATCGAGTGCCTTCAGACATTTAGCTTTTAGGTATTTAATATGCGGAAGGAAAGTTAAATGACTATCGAAAAAAAGGCCCAAGAATTGGCCTCGTTTACAACTTTGATAAGGTAGCCATTTGAAAATAGTTTGGGGTCCTTATGCGACTTATATTTTCTGCAGAGAAATGGAAAATTTAAACCCGTTTTCAAGGGACCATTTATGAATTTTATTGAGACAGATTTGTAACTGCCTCTCTATTGTATGCATATTTTTTCCACGACAAGAAGCATTAAAATCATCCACAAAAAGTGATCAATCTACTGAATCACTTAAAACCTTTGAAAGACTATTTATTTTGATACTAAATAAAGTTACAGACACAATACTGCCTTGTGGGACACCCTGATCCTGATGATAATGATCAGACAGGGTAGATCCCACGCGGATTTGAAATTGTGTGTCAGTTAAAAATGTGGACATAAATTGAGGCAAACGGCCTGTCAATCCAAAATCATGTAAATCCTTTAAAATCCCGTGTTTCCACGTTGTATCATACGCTTTTTCTAAATCGAAAAATTTAGACACTGTATGCTGGTTATTAATGGTTGCATTTTTCACAAATTATTCTAACCAAACTAAATGGTCAACAGTACTTCGATTCTTTCGAAAGCCACACTGAATATTTGTAATTCAATTATTTGATTCTAAGTACCATGCTAATCTATTGTTGACCATGCGTTCCATGGTTTTACAAACGCAGCTGGCCAATGAAATGGGTCCATTTGAGGGATCACAATGATCCCGACCAGGTTTCGGTATGGGTACAACTATGGCATCACGCCAAGAAGAAGGAAACTTCCCTGAGTTTTCTTGCTGTTTTTATTTTTTGGGAATTGAGGGACATAATTTGAGGAAGAAGAATGTTTTGCTAACGTTTCACCGAGTATATTTGCAATATCTGATTTACTAGATAATAATTGATCCCCATTTCTTAAGATGGTGGATGCTAGAGTCAGAACCCTTACCTTTTATTTTCTGTATCATGTTCCATACCTTAGACACGGTCGGGTAGCCTAGTGGTTAAAGCGTTAGTTCGTCACGCCGAAGACCCGGGTTCGATTCCCGACATGGGCACAATGTGTGAAGTCCATTTCTGGTGTCCCCCGCCGTGATATTGCTGGAATATTGCTAAAAGCGGCGTA